ATTTGAATGCAGTTTTTTAGAGATTTGCGCCAGAAACATTTAGAGGTATGCCACTTCAAAATCCGATAAAGATAAGTTGAGTTATGGAGTACAGAACTTCAGAATTGGGGCATTTATGCATTTTTTGAATTTCTCCATCATATCATCGAAAAAATTACAAAAATATTAAAAAAAAAAAATTTCTAAATTTGAATGCAGTTTTTTAGAGATTTGCGCCAGAAACATTTAGAGGTATGCCACTTCAAAATCCGATTAAGATAAGTTGAGTTATGGAGTACAGAACTTCAGCCTTGGGGCATTTATGCATTTTTTGAATTTCTCCATCATATCATCGAAAAAATTACAAAAATATTAAAAAAAAAAAAAATTTCTAAATTTGAATGCAGTTTTTTAGAGATTTGCGCCAGAAACATTTAGAGGTATGCCACTTCAAAATCCGATTAAGATAAGTTGAGTTATGGAGTATAGAACTTCAGCCTTGGGGCATTTAGGATTTTTTTTTGAATTTCTACAACATCATATCATCAAAAAATTACAAAAATATTAAAAAAAAAAAAATTTCTAAATTTCAATGCAGTTTTTTAGAGAATTGCGCCAGAAACATTTAGAGGTATGCCACTTCAAAATCCGATTAAGATAAGTTGAGTTATGGAGTACAGAACTTCAGCCTTGGGGCATTTATGCATTTTTTGAATTTCTCCATCATATCATCGAAAAAATTACAAAAATATTAAAAAAAAAAAAATTTCTAAATTTGAATGCAGTTTTTTAGAGATTTGCGCCAGAAACATTTAGAGGTATGCCACTTCAAAATCCGATAAAGATAAGTTGAGTTATGGAGTACAGAACTTCAGAATTGGGGCATTTATGCATTTTTTTAATTTCTCCATCATATCATCGAAAAAATTACAAAAATATTAAAAAAAAAAAATTTTCTAAATTTGAATGCAGTTTTTTAGAGATTTGCGCCAGAAACATTTAGAGGTATGCCACTTCAAAATCCGATTAAGATAAGTTGAGTTATGGAGTACAGAACTTCAGCCTTGGGGCATTTATGCATTTTTTGAATTTCTCCATCATATCATCGAAAAAATTACAAAAATATTAAAAAAAAAAAATTTCTAAATTTGAATGCAGTTTTTTAGAGATTTGCGCCAGAAACATTTAGAGGTATGCCACTTCAAAATCCGATTAAGATAAGTTGAGTTATGGAGTACAGAACTTCAGCCTTGGGGCATTTATGCATTTTTTGAATTTCTCCATCATATCATCGAAAAAATTACAAAAATATTAAAAAAAAAAAAAATTTCTAAATTTGAATGCAGTTTTTTAGAGATTTGCGCCAGAAACATTTAGAGGTATGCCACTTCAAAATCCGATTAAGATAAGTTGAGTTATGGAGTATAGAACTTCAGCCTTGGGGCATTTAGGATTTTTTTTTGAATTTCTACAACATCATATCATCAAAAAATTACAAAAATATTAAAAAAAAAAAATTGAAAATTTGAATGCAGATTTTTAGAGAATTATTCCAGAAACATTTAGAGGTATGCCACTTCAAATTCCGATTAAGATAAGTTGAGTTATGGACTTTAGAACATCAGCCTTGGGACATTTTTGAATTTCTACAACAGCAGCACACAGAAAAATTACAAAAAAATTCAAAAAAAAATAAAATTCTAAATTTGAATGTAGATTTTTAGAGAATTGTTCCAGAAACATTTTGAAGTATGCCACTTCAAATTCCGATTAAGATAAGTTGAGGTATGGACTTTAGAACTGCAGCCTTGGGACATTTTTGAATTTCTACAACATCATCGCATTAGAAAATGACAAAAATATTAAAAAAAAATAAAATTGAAAATTTGAATGCAAATTTTTAGAGAATTGCTCCAGAAACATTTAGAGGTATGCCACTTCAAATTCCGATTAAGAAAAGTGGATTTATGGACTTTAGAACTTCAGTTATTTGACCTTATTGAATTTCTACAACATCATCGCATCAGAAAATGACAAAAAAATTAAGAAAAAATAAATTTCTAATTTTGAATGCAGTTTTTTAGAGAATTGCGCCATAAACATTTAGAGGTATGCCACTTCATAATCCGATTAAGATATGTTGAGTTATGGACTTTAGAACTCCTGGCCATGCTTCCTTCTGCCTGTTACATACTTTTCAACGAATCTAGTATACCCTTTTACTCTACGAGCAACGGGTATAATTTTATTACAGCGCCACAAAAAGGGTTGGCTTTTAAACTCGCTCTTTTACAAAGAAAGATGTCAAGAAATAAACGAACCGATAAAAATGTTTTATTTTCTTTTCATTCACACGCGTATATTCAAATGCTAAACAAAGCTGGTGACCAGGTAACGAGGTGTGTCTTACCCCAAACAAAATCTCTGGTTAGCAACTGCGGCTATATAAGAAGTATTCAAAAGGAACAGGGCTGAATTTGGAACTCTTATCAATCTATGAAATCTGTGTTTATTTAACCCCGGTCCCACAACAGGTCGCATGCTTAATATGTATAAACGTTTAGAGCAAAACAAAACGAATATATAGGCACGTGAAGTCGTCTGGGTTCTGGCTATAGGCAGGCATAGGGTAATAAATTTAAAGAATCTTCGATTACCGGCATTAAGCCAAACCTCTTATGGCGGCTCATGGCTTTTGATTCACTTGACGCGATATCTGGTTCCTGTATGCAAATTGTTTCCGTGCACACAAGAAACGATGATGGAAAGATCAAAAACATATTTAACGGGTTATATTTATTTTATATTGGCATTAATATAAATAAGATTCAAGAGTGCGTTAATTTAAATTTTATCACGGAGCAGACAGCTGCACTATATCGAAAGCGATATCCGCCGATTGGCCGCATAAATCTGCCCCGCCCTTGTCATTGATTTACGAATCTATAGACTTATAACCGTAGAAAGAACGATGCCTTTTAGACGCAAATGACACATTTTGCAAGTCAAATCGCTGACTCAATAGACAATGCCCGCAAATGGCATAAGCAGCCAATAATGAATGTTTTGCGGTGGAATGTTTATGAATGTGAAACCTAAGACGACAGCGGTTCAAAGCATTATTAATTAAATTTTAAAATTTTCTAATAACCGTAAGAATACACATTAAAATGCGGCTGGTTGATTATTATTTTGGTAAGATAATGAAAAATTCAGCACATAACTCGTATGTTTCATCTTGGGCCGTTGAAAAATATTCCATTAATCAATGCAAGTGAAAGGCAACAAAAATGATGTCACATGATGGGGTCAGAACCATTTTTAAGTGGGCTTATAGCTATAGTTTTATTCATGGTAACATCTTTACAAAGTCCGTTGGTATCTGCGTAGAAAACGGTTTAACAATTTCCTGTGTTTGAGCCACTTTATCTTTTCAGTACGGCCTTGATATCAAACAAATCATTTTTATTGGCACTGCATCTATGGCTCAAGTGGCTTCATTCACTTGACGGTGGCAGGTGAATGTATTTCCCCACACACACGCATGAGAAACGGAAATGATGTATGACCAAAGCCGTTAAATTTGCTTATTGTTGCCACTAAGGTCAAGTGAAGATACAAACAATCATGCCAGCAGTCAATCCAATAAATGAAAGAGAGGGCTACCAGGTCGACAGGCAGATGGGCAAGCAATCTACAATTTCACATGGTACAGTTCAGTTTTGCCTATTGAAAACATAATCAGTATATATACATATATAATATCAAGATGTTGCCTGTGTTATCTGCTCGATGACTAATCTTTCCCTTGGATAAACTGTGGCCAGACTTTAGCATACTGGAATAGAGCCACTTCAATATGAAAATATTATTCTAACAAAATATTATGCAAATTATTTGAAGCAGGAGACAAAATAACTTAAGCAACAAACTTTAATTAAGGCACGCGCTGTGAAGAGACAAATGGCGTTGAAATCAGAGTACATGCACTGATAAAAATTAAGAAGGCACTTTTTTTTTTTATATGCAACTTGGATCTCCTGTCCTCGAAAATCAAAATATGCAATCTTTCATTAAGGAGGAAAATATTCCATATCCTCTAAATATTACATTTGCAGTAATAACTCGTATTCGCTATCTTAAAATCAAAAGACTTAGGCAACGAACTTGCCCTTACTCATAGTTAAGAATCGCACAATTGTAGAATCTGCATTGACAGTGTAGCATAGCCTTCTTATTAACTTTTACTTTACTAATATTTGTAAGAGTGTAGAAATCGGATCTTTTGGTACTTTTTATCTGTGCGTCATGACTCGTGACGACATTAAAGTGATTGTGCGAAGGGTCCCGGCAGAACCTCACATCCCATGGGCATCTCCAGCAGCCTCTTCTAGTCGCCGATTCTTCTCAATTCGTTTCGTTTTATTTAATTTAAATTTTGATTTGAATTGCCGCTGCTGTCGTTGTTGCTTTTGGCGCTGAACGGTGCCGCTTCTACTGTAAAGACTTTGTTTTTGCCTTATTTATAACGCGGTGTGCGGCTTGTGTCTCATCGGGTTTTAGTTTTTGGCGGTCGGCGTCGCGCTGCCCAGACTCTCTTAGACCCACGTAGCGAACTGAAACGAACCGGACGGACTGAACGGGCGATATAGTATAAATTTCATACCCACTGACCAGCTCATCATCATTTGTGCTTTGAACTTCTTTAGTGTAAATTGCTCGTTCGCTTTTGCTCGAGAAAATTTCGTGAAATCCCAAAAACCAAAATAAACAAAAATGGTATGTGATCCTTGCAACAAGGACAATGAGTCGTTGTGATACGCTTCTGCTTCAACCAGGATAAAAACGAAAAAAAAAACCAAGTGAAACGTGATATAAAACCATTCAAATCAGAAACCCAAAAATAACTCTCACCACAAGTGCCAAGCAACCCGGACTTAAGTGTTCTAAACGACTTCATCAACGCGCTGTCCCGTTTCGAGTGCTCCTCGGGACTTGATTTACTTCACACCCGTGCCGGAGCCACGCACATAAATATGCTTCAGAATGTTCTTAAAATAACAATCTCACTCACTGTCAGTTTTTCATTATATTCATAGAAAAACTAGATTTGTGTCCATAAAATTATGGTTTTATTAGCATAAATATAAATAGTTGTCATTATCGTTAAATGGCAATAAATTTGCGATTTTTGTAATAATAATATTAAATATACTTGGCTGGGCAAGTCTTAGACTTATTGCAGTTTTAATTTGTGCTTAGCGTACCAATTAGTCAGGCCAAGGATAACGTCATTTAAGTAAAGCCTTACGTAGCAGAATTAATGGCTAAAATTATTATCTTTTTTCTTGCAGAAATTCTTTTTGCTATTGGCTTTGGCCCTTGTAGGCATTGCTGCTGGAGCTCAGCTGCCAGACTCCGCCACCCAGGGACCCAATCCTCAGGATATTGCCACTCCGGAGCCGGAGTACATTGATATCGACGAGCCCGCACCCGCTGCTGCCCCTGCTTCTCGTCCTGTGGCCGCTGCTCCCCGTCCCGTCTTCGCCGCCCCCGCTCCCCTCGCTCGACCAGTGGTTCGTCCTGTGGCTCGTCCTGTGGCCGTGGCCCAATCCTTCGTCCAGCTGCCCGTCCAGCAGCAGATTGTCCAGAGGGCTCAATTCGTTGCGCCGGTGGCTCAACAGGTGGTGTTGCCGCAGCAGCAGCTGGTGGGACACACCTACAGCGGCAGGGCTGGATACCAGTACCGCCGTCCAGTCTATGTAAGACGTTTCTACCGCCTGCGCCGCTACTAAGAGGACGCAGCTAGCTCTTAACTATATTTAATATGTGCTTGACAACCCCAGTAATTCCTCCTATTTTGTCCTTTCTCTTCCTTCTCCTCCACTCCTCACCTGCCCGAATCAACTTTCTACGCACCAATCTTCAACTCAAAAACCAATTAAAATCAAAACCTAAACCGAATCAAGCATTAACTACGACCTAAATCAACACACACATTACCACGCACTGATCCCCACTATCAATCTATCCAACTATCGAAATATCGTATTATAATTATCCTAATCCTAGAACGAAACCATCAAAGAAACGCCCAACAAGAACAAGCCAAGATCAAAAGCATAAAGAGCGAAGTACAAAGAGACAAATGATGTTTTAAAGACAAAGATCATAAAACGAAGTATTCAGTTATTGTTGAATTGCCAAGTAAAATACGAATAAATAAACGTAAATTATTTGTAAAAATGATAAACAAATTTTTGGTTCAACTGTTTCATTCATCTGCCAAGGCCAATCAAACTGGTCGGCCGAAGGGGGGAAGAGTATCAGGTTTTAATTATATTATTCACAGCTCATCAAAGCACAATAAAGTGTTTCGAAATTGTACAAAGATTCGTTCTTGATTTGATGAGTACCCCCCATCGTCAGCATCGTTGTTGGTTCCTCATTAATCATGGAATGCCATAAGGAAAATGTATTGGCCATCTGATATGGACATTTGCATACGGAAGCTGCGTATCCGCGCACTTGGGGTCGACTCATTACCAAAAGGTTGGAAAATAATTTCTATGTTGCGTGGTGTTGGCACTCATTAAGACTACACTGGGCTTAAGTGGTGCGGCTCTGTCGGCCAATTAGGTAGCATTATTTATGCAGCTTCTTGCACGACTCTTGACGGGTCGTAAAGCCGAACTAGCCGCTGCTTAAACAAATAGAAATACATAAATCTACTAGATTACTTTCAAAATACATTAAATTGAACCGGTTTAAACATCTTCTGAACCTGCCAAGTTGTCCCAAAAATACACTCAAACGACCACTGGCCACATAGTCAAATCAGAAGTGTAAACAATCCGATTTAAAAGCCATAGTCTGTCCGGGTGGTCGGCTTAGAGACAATGTACTATTGATTGATGGATTGATTGTCAATTTGATTGCCTTGCCTCAGCTTCTATTCAGGGGCATTGACAGTCACTTTTGTCAGTGAACTATGACAAACTGGGTCTTGATCTATCCACTCCACTGTACTCCTTTGTATGCCAGTAATGACAGGCGGAAAATTCATCATCGGAATTCATCATGGGTGCTTCCGTCTTGGTTGGGATTTTTATTTATTCCCTGGGTCAAATGGCAATAATTTATCGTTATGGGCTAATGATTGGCGGTTGATTACATGGACTAACACATCCATATTGCAACTGGTTTTTGCTTCACTTGCACACTCTATAATAATAATATTTAAATATCAATGTATTTTTTTAAATTAATTATAACATGACAGCACTTTCTCTCCCAACTTTATGTGTATTGTGGTTGTCTCAAAGGATTTTCTTTTCATAAGTGCTAGAAATCAATTCTGTTATACACTCATCTTAAAAAGCATACGATAAGGCAGCGTTACAAATTAAGTTGCTTTTAGATACATTGCCGAAAAATATGCAACATTAATTTTGTATACTTCTAGCGAAGTTCAAAAAAATTTATTTTTCTGAAACTATAATGGCTAGTCCAACATATCCTGTAATTATTATATTATATGTTATATGTATATTTATAAATATAAATATAGATAATAGCTCAATTAATTGTAATTATGAAAACAAAAAAGGTTTCAACGAATTGAAGGAGGTCAATGTAATTAATACATACCGCACGAAAAAAAGCAAATTACTTTTATTAATGATTTTGTAATCTAAATATCGTGTAGGTCAGTTTTGATAACCATTTTAAATTACATTTGATTTACCTTGTTCTGTTCGTGTTAATGGACTTATTTATTTATTTATTTTTTGTATTGATTACTCGATGAAGATTGCCAGAGCTATATTTATCATACGCACAGTATGCACCTGCAAACCCGAAATATTATTGTAGTTATCATCCACGTCTACGTCTAGAATGAACCGATATAAGCTAACTTCCAATTAGCATTTCGCCTATAATGCATCAGCAAAATGATCGTGCCAAAAAATAAGGAAGCAAATAGTTGGTTTCATTAGTGGCGAATAAGAAACGGGCTAGACCGCCTGGTGGAGTGGGGTCATCAGTTTTGCTTTCTAAAATCAATGATTTGACAGATAATTTATGGGCCATGTTTATTTAAACGGCGCTACTAAGAGCAACAACCGTGTATAAAACTCTTAAGTAAATCATTGTTGGGCGTTCAAACGAAGATAAACGTAATAATCTAATTAATTTGCATTTGCTGACACAAAGAAGCGGGTGGCTATGAGGGGAAACGGGTTCCCAGCCATTAGATCATGAAGTTAATTTGCATAAAAGCAATTCATTTTGTCAACAAACATTCTGCAAACGATCTTCTCCATTGATGGCAGCACCGAAAAAAATGCCTAACTTCCTGATCGCATTAATTTCACTTTCATAGCATCGTGGGCGGATTAAAAAGAATAAAATACCTCCAGGGGTCGGAGGCGTATCTTCACACCTCTCAAACAATGGCAGCGATTGTCTCGAACAATTAAGTTGGTATCATAAATTATAAGAATGTCGTTTATTGAAGCTCAGCCACAATTCGACCCATAAAATTAGAGCTTATCGCTCTTATGGCTGCTAAGTTCAATTACTCAAAGCTGGGTTTCTTGTTTTTTTGTTGTTTGTGTCAATAAATCAAGCCGGAATTGGCCATAGAGCATTACTCAGTCTAGTTCCCAAAAATAACCACAACTGGATTGTCCATGAATGAAACTGTTCTGCCTCGGTGCAAGATATATTTTTAGCACTCCCGGGGCAATTATGCTGTCGATCGTGGCACTTGAGCCGAGTTCGTGGTCTTGGCCTTCCTTGGGATAGGATTTTCCCTCCTCAAGTTCAAGATCAGAACAGGATATAAAACACACTTGGGAAAATACGTTTTCGCAGTGCTAAGCTTTATTTCGTTTTTAGTGCAGGCTGAGCTAGGTAAACAATAAATAACTACTGGTAAAAACACGTCACACTCAAAGACAACAAATAGAAAATGACTGAGGATGATGGCTATTTAGAAGAGGAACGGCTGAGCTGGGGGATCGTAGTGGTATCCATCACCATGCGACTCCACGATCTTCTGGGGCGGCAGATAGGTGCTAACGGGTTCCTCCAGGGGAGCGGCGTATGATGGGATCGGGATCTTGAAGGTGGGCACCACAGCTGGTGCGACGTAACGTGGCTGCTCCACCACTGGAGCAGGTGGCAGATAAGCTGGCTTGGGTGGGCTGATCTTCACAACTGGTGGTGGAGGTGGCACATAGGCAGGCTTGGGTGGGTTGACCTTGACAACTGGTACTGGTGGTGGCAGATAGGCGGGCTTGGGTGGGTTGACCCTGACAACCGGTGGTGGAGGAGGCAGATAGGCGGGCTTGGGTGGGTTGACCTTCACAACCGGTGGTGGAGGGGGCAGATAAGCAGGCTTGGGGGTCCTGACAACCGGGATCTCGGGTCTCACGGTCGCTGGTGGCAAGTAAACTGGAGGAGGCAGGGTCACAGGGGCCACACGAACGGTCACGGGTTCCGGGGGCAGATATGCCGGAGCCGGAGTGGGCAGTTCAAAGGGGATGCTTGGTGGGTCATAGTTGTAGCCAGGATGATCGTGGTGATCATGGTGATCATGACCGAACAAATGCGAGACATCAGCGGCTACAATAGCCAAGCTGCAAACAGCCAGGATAAGGACTTTCTGAAATATACAATAAGACCCATTTAAGACTCTGAGTAAATATCCTTGGACAGTAAGCACAAACCATATTTCTGGTGGAACGTTCTTGCTGCGACGACGGCCTCTACCAAAGTGATACAGTTTCCGGCAAGTGTTTCTTTATTTATACAGTTATACAGTTAGAGAACCTGAAGCTGAATCAGTGGTCGCTATAAAGCTATCGCGTCACGTTATTACCTCTGGCCAACGCCGACGCCGCGAGAGCCGATCTGACTGCGATCCGTCTATATCTATATGGCCCGGTTGTCAGCCAGGCAGCGTTTAGGGGTCTCGCCCCTTTGGCAGCCGGTATTGGGAATTGACATTCCATTTTTATTAAATATCTTAATTCGAACTCATCTCGTTGCGTTGGCTTTTGTGTTTTGGCCTGACCAGGGAGCTCTTTATGGCTGGGTGCCATAAACGTGTTGGGTTTTACGATCACCGCTGAGATTGCCAAGTATTTAAATAGTTTTTGGTTTGGCGGCTATTGGGATAAATAGTTTTGCGTACTTTTGGAGTTGCTATACTATATATTTCTTCACCTATGCCTTAGTCAGTACTCACTACCGAGCCAGAATATCATTAATGATACCTAACGATTGGGTTTGAATTAAACTTGTGAATGAAATATCAAGCGTGATATTAGAGCAACTTAATATTAAAAAAGGCAACTATAACCCTTTTCAATAGAGCATACTCAATTCGTTGGTGGCTTAATTATTAAATACGGTCCAATCTTTTCAAGGCACCTTTGAAAGACTTGCCCCATCTCTGGGCAACATTGAAAGAGGTCAACTGTCGCCCATTGCCGATGGCAGCAATTGGCGATTAGCGATTTTGGTTCGATTTGAAACTTTCTGTAACCGACACCAATCGATCCCTATATACATGTATTCAAACCGAAACTAACATCATTTTTCATTCGAAGAGACAGTAATTACAGACACTGCAGGTGATGATCGAGCTGAGCTGAGGCTAAAACCGAAGCTGTTTGGCTATTTCGGTTGATTGGCCGCAATTAGATTTGGGGGTCAGTTTGAAATCCAAATGGATCCCTTGGGGGCTGGGTGACAGCAATTTGGGTTCGATACCTTGACCTTGAGAATGTGGAAAGAGTTCGAGTGGTGTAATAGTGAATACTCCATTTTGATTTCTTGTTAAAATTGCTTTTAATTTGTACAGCTTAAAACTAAATGCAGTGCTTGTGGTTTTGTTTTTTGAAGCTGATTATCCTAGTGCCTGAAACGGCGAAGTGGTGGCTTGTAGTGGTAACCAGGCTCGGCGTCGTGAATTTGGCTTGGGGCAGGACCCAAGGGCAGGGCGTAGGAAGGAATCGGGATGTGGAAATCTACCTCTGGCTGGGGTGGCAGATATTTGGGTTCGGGCTTGGGAGGCAGATACTTCTCGACGGGCTTGGAAGGTGGCAGGTACTTAGTCTCCGGCTCGGCAGGAGGAAGGTACAGCTTCTTGGGAGCAACTGGTGGGGGAGGAGGTGGTGGTGGCAGACTGGGCGCAACCTTGGGTGGCAGATACCTTGCCACAGGGGCAGGAGGCAGGTACTTCACCTCCGGCGTCGGAGGAGGAAGATACTTCGGCTCTGGGGGACTGGGAGGCAGATAGCTGGGCTTGGGCGCCACAACTGGAGGTGGTGGTGGAGGAGGCAGGCTGGGAGCGACCTTGGGCGGCAGATACTTGGCCACCGGCTCGGGGGGCAGGTACTTCACTTCGGGCTTTGAGGGAGGCAGATAAGTGGCCTTGGGTGGAGGAGGTGGTGGCGGTGGGAGGGCCACCTTGGGAGGCAGGTACTTCTGGCGAGGTTTCTCGGGTTGTCCATAGCTATATCCGCTAGGAACATCGAACTGGGCCTCTTGGTGATGATGATGGTGGTGATCTGGCTGATAGTGCAGATCAATGTGCAGATCATGATGATCGTGCGACGAGGCAGAATGGTAGTGGTGGTGATCATGATCGTGGTCATGGTGGTGATGGTGATCATGGCCGTGATCGTGGTAACCTCCGCCGTGCAGGTGGGAGACATCTGCCCGAACGCAGATGCCAAAGCCTGCCAGGGCCACAAGGATCAGCATGGGAGTCTGTAAAATAACCACATGTTAGGTAATCTTTATGGGGGAATATGCTGCTACTGTTTACCATTTCCTTCAAGAGATAATCCACCGATCGAGATGATGTTGCTGCCGTTTGATGACAACAGGTAGTAATGTCAATAACGTCGATGGTCACCGCTTTTATACAAAGATTGCGGCTTCCTCGACCGGCTGACTCTTTGGTTTTCTTCACACTTTTCTTGGTTTTCATGAACTTGAGGCCGGGCAATTATCGGCGTGTGTTATCTCCCCCTACCCCAAAACAATTAATGCGATTTCGACCAAATTAGCTCTGCACAACAAAGCAGCTCATGAATATGCAGCGGATGCGACGAAATCCCAGACAATTGACGGTGATTGACTCGGCCATCTGCACCACTTTTGCCCGATCCCAATAAATATTGGGGAGATACCGATGCTAATGGGGTTAACAAAACAGCGTTTATTGAGATGGATTTAACCTTATATAAACCTAAGCCTAGTGGAACGATTCAAAACAAAACTAATCCGGGGAAATCTTTCATGTTCAGTTCGAAGGCGATTTGGCTCAGTAGGTGAACTCTTGGGCGGGCACATCGTAGTGGTAACCCGGTTCCGGTTGTGGTGGTGGGGGTGGGGGTGGTAGGTACGTGGGCACCGGCGTGGGTGCAGGTGTTGTTGTGGTTGTTGTGGTGGTGGTGGTGGTGGGCGGTGGGGGTGGTGGAGGTGGAAGGTAGGTGGGAGCGGGAGTGGGAGCGGGAGTGGGTGCGGGAGTGGGAGCGGGAGTGGTGGTAGTGGTAGTAGTAGTGGTCGTGGTCGTGGCTGGAGGAGGGGGTAGGTAGGTGGGCACTGGCTTGGGTGGCAGATAAGTCGGTGGTGGCGGCGGTGGTGGTTCCGTCGTCGGGGCAATCACAAATGGTATCTCCGGCTTGGGGTAGTCATAGCCATAGCCATGCTCATGATGCTGCTCCAGGAGTTCCAGCGGCAAATGCGAGACATCTCCGGCTGCGTAAGCCAGCAGGCAGGTGGCCAAAATGAATAACTTCTGAAGTAGGTAAGAAGTCGTTAAATTCAGATTGCTTTTCAAATGTACAACTGACCACACTCACCATCTTCCTTATGATATGTCTGATACCTTGAGCTCTTAAACCACAAATGATTGAGCGTGTGCAGCCGCGGCGGTTTATTTATAGTCAAAATTCTAAAACAGATCGATACTGTCCATGGCTCTCTTGAGGCCAATTATTATCATTTAAATCGATTTAACACCGCTAGCCCCACGGCATTCTGTGTATCGGTAAATGTATCTGTATCTGTATCTGTATCTGTATCTGTAGCGCTCTCCTTAGCCATGTTTATATGAATGATTAGCGCCACAATAGTGCTCCGAAGTTGACAGAGGAGCAGCGTCAACATCGCCAACATTATTTCGGAATCATTTTGCCTTTAGGGGGGCCCTTCTGAGCAGCTTTTCAACAACGTCGTCACTTGGGTTTTCATTGTTACGGTGTTAAAGATAAGAATACACTTCCGTCGGAACCTAGGGCACTAAAGCCTATCTCACACAGAGAAATAGTTATAACCAAATGGCTAAACAAATTTGAAATCTAGTTGAAATGAATGTTTAGTAATTTACCATTTACTATTTACCATTTCTATATGGGTTGCTCCAAATATATATATAAATATATAAAAAATATACACCTATTTTAAGTGCTAATTCACAGTAAATTAAGTGCTTTTCAGCTAGCACCTGTGAGTTTTATTTATTTTAAGCCAGTAAAGTTGTCTCTCAGTGCATCTGAAGAGTTAGTTCCGTCGCTGGAAGCGTTGTAAGCGTGCTCCGCTGGCTGTCATAAATCATTTAGACTTCATTTATAATAATTATGGCTCGCGCTGCCTTTTGCAACTCAAGAAGTTTGAGTGGTCAGAGTTTCATGGACAGATGGACAATGAAGCTGTCTGCTGGACAAGATCTTGCGGAAGCAATTCAGTTACAGATCATTCGAGTTAAAGTGCAAAGGCGGAGCAGACGGTAACGAGCTCAAAGTTAAGATTATTTTAAAACTACATTTTCATTCTTTAGAAATAGACCTATATTTATTTTGAATAATATTATGAACAAGTTTAGAAATATTTCATTTTATTCTTCAGAATCATATTATTGTCTGACCGATGTTACAAAACTATAAAACTATTTTAAATAATGTCTGGGCTATTGGGAACCATCCATTGATTGGAGACCAGCTGAAATCAACTAATTAGTTGGATTAGCGTCTGCGATCACGATTGTTTAAACAAACAGACGATACTGGTCCATGTTCAACTATCACTTTTATTTTATTGCATGCCAAGAAAACGATGGGTTGTTGAACTGCCCAGTAGAGATCGAACTGATCGATTGTCAAGTGCCGGAATTGGATGGCGTGTGCTGAACCATCCTCGTTTCTGCTCGCCTTTGGCCAAAATGCGAGTAATTTATGCCGATTATAATATTAATTGTCTCGTTTTTATGGGCATACATCTCGACACTGGCTAGGCCTCAGCAGTTTTGATCTATCGCAAATCTTTGCAAATTTTGTGATTCCTCAACCGGTTTGGATTAGAAATATTTGGTTGGGCAGAGACATTTTCTGCTTCGCTTTTTATGAATTCAGCACTTTAAGCTGTGAATCTCGTTCTGAGCCGCGTCCAAGGCAAATAGTGTTTGGAATAAGCCCTGTCCAAGGGCCTGAATTGTGAAAGGAACGCAGTTGGATCTCGATTTGATTTTATTGTTTATTATCTTTACGAAACTTTGGTACAAATTGGACTTATTAGGGTGGGTATTTAGCTCTTGAAGCGCCGACTGGGCACCTGGTATTTGTATCCATCGATTTTCTTTGAGGCAGTGATGCTGGATGCTGCTGGTTCCACTGGTTCCTCCAGATCTTCCGCCTGGCCCAGTTCGGCATCGGATGGAGCCACTGGGATGGCATCCTGGGGGAACTCCTCGCCCGTGGGAAACTCGTTGTTCACCTCCAGCTCCAGTTCCGCGACTTTGGGTACATCGTAAACAAATCCATTGCCAGATCTCACCAACTGGGAGACATCTGCTCGAGCGGCCAGACAAATGGCCATAAGTATTAAACTGAATACCCAAAGGCGCTATAGAGTAAAATATTAAATAAATTCGTTAAAAACTGTAGCCAAAACTTATTTATGCGCATTCCTAAAAGCTATTCTAATCCTTGCGTGCAAAGCTAGAAGTAGCGAATATAACATATGAAAACTAGATTTTCTAAATCGAAGTAGTAGCTATAAATTATAATGCTCAAAGCAACTGATGATTATTTTCTTATGATGCATTCAGTAGAATCACTATTGGAAGAAGCCAGTTTTGATTGAATTATTAAAGAAATATTTAAAATGTCGATATGATAGAAGTGCAAATTTGGCGAGCCATTAAGCTTCAGCATATGTTATTCAGGGAACTTGTTTTTCTTTTTTTAAACTTAAATGTGAAGTGTTAAAACTACAATTGAATTAATTTTGAGATTTAAAACTGATAGTGGCGGTTACAAGCTTCTGAAGTCGATGGCTTACCATGATGTTAGATGATCTTTAGCTGGGTATTACTTCAAATGGAAACCTTTAAGAATGCCGTAATAGTTGTCGCTGCCAACGGAGCGTTGCTCAAGCGAATGCAGGCGCCGGCGATCGGGCCCAAACTATTTATACTTCTATATGTTCGCCGCATTTGCCTCATTTTATTAATTGCGCCAAGCCGATCGTGATGACTGTGCTGAAGCCAAAACATAAACCGAACCAGTGGAACAGTGAGCGGCCCTAGATAAACAAACAAACGAATCGATGTTTTGGGCCAAATGATGGTGCTACCGCTGCCGATCGGGCACTCCACTCAAAATGCTACAACATCTCCATCTCCAACCACATCGCCATTGCCAAGGCTAAGACTTGTTTTGTGGGGTCAAGTGTCAGTGCGTTGCTTTTGTCTCTGGCGCATTTGTTCGTCGATTTGTATACGAACTAATGATTCTGACAGATCAGTGTTTGCTCCCATCCAAGTGATCAAAGTGCCTCCTCACATCTTGTATTCAATTATGCAGCCCTGCCCGATCGGTGGAGCATATAAAGCGCATAAAAGCGTCGCTTCAACACGTTTCCGTTTAATTTGAGTTTACGGCTGCAAAACTGCTGCCAATGATCGCACAATTTATCCACGCCAACTTGACATTTTGATTATACTATAGCATCGCATTTCAGCAGACATTGCAAGATTGATTGCACTGGCCATTCGGCCACTGATTAGATTGGTTTATGTCTAGGCGGAAATTCCACCTGCTGTGAAGTGCCAACGGGATTTCAATGCGGACACACCCACTTGTTGCTTTCCCGAAGAAGGCGAACAATAGATAAACATTAATGTTGAAAAGCTCACACCTAATTGTGGGAATACAGTGGTACTAGAAGGTAATACTGACAGGACTGCTAAAAAGAATTTCGCCTTGCATCTAAAAACCTACTTTAGGCAGTAAAATTGATCTATTTCATTAACTAAGCGTCAATAAACTATCTTACTTCTGTAAAGTGCAAATATAGGTATGCATATTGTTAAATGAAAGCCTTCACAGATTTATTTCCCTAAAATATCTCTTCTGTTATTTCGTTTTCTAGAAAAATAAGCATACTTCTCGGCCTTAACGAGTCACATTGAAACTTATAGCATATCCAAAGGCGTCTATAAAATGAAAGAAATGTGTGGACCTCGCAGAAGCATTTAAAATGTAGAAGTGCTTCACCTACCCATAAATCATAAGTTACTAAACTATTTTTTTGTTTTTACTGTATACTATTGTTTTTGAGCACTCAAATGTGATTAAACTTTAATGACGATAAGTCAATTGAATTGAATTTGTGTACGATTGTGTACGATTTGTGTTTATATATCAAAAGACATATTTTTAAAATCGAATGATTTTTATTTTCACGGTTATATCAAGTGTACTCGGCTTTCCTGCGATGGGGAAAGGCCAAGCCACTCATTCACAATTCGTTCAAAAATATGGCTAATACTTAATCTGTGTATTTACAACGAGCTTCGAGAGCCTAGAAGTTGAACGCGGGCTGGGGGTCGTTGGGGTAGCTGTATCCCTTCTGGACGGGGGGCAGGTACTCGACCTTGGGTGCTGGTGGGGGTGGGGGTGGGGTGTAGACGACGACCTTCTTGGTTGGGGGTGGCACGTAGACTGGGGGAGCGACGTACACCTTCTTGGTTGGTGGGGGTGGGGGTGGGACATAGACTGGGGGAGCGACGTACACCTTCTTGGTGGGTGGGGGTGGCAGGTACTCAACCTTTGGGGCGGGAGCAGCGACCTCGAATTTCACGGAGGGCTGGGCGTAGTGGTAGCCATCTTCCTTCAGGATGCCAGCTGGGGGTGTGTACACGACCGGCTTCGGTGGTGGTGGTGGGGGTGGGGTGTAGACGACGACCTTCTTGGTTGGGGGTGCCACGTAGACTGGGGGAGCGACGTACACCTTCTTGGTGGGTGGGGGTGGCAGGTACTCAACCTTTGGTGCGGGAGCAGCGACCTCGAATTTGACGGAGGGCTGGGCGTAGTGGTAGCCATCTTCCTTCAGGATGCCAGCTGGGGGTGTGTACACGACCGGCTTCGGTGGTGGTGGTGGGGGTGGGGTGTAGACGACGACCTTCTTGGTTGGGGGTGCCACGTAGACTGGGGGAGCGACGTACACCTTCTTGGTGGGTGGGGGTGGCAAGTACTCAACCTTTGGGGCGGGAGCAGCGACCTCGAATTTCACGGAGGGCTGGGCGTAGTGGTAGCCATCTTCCTTCAGGATGCCAGCGGGCGCGGCGTGAACGACCACTGGAGGGGTGTACACTGGACGAGGGGGTGTGGGCCTGGGCTTGGGGGCCTCGTAGACCACTGCTGGTGGGGCAGACTCGTGGGACACATAGGGCACATCGATGACGACCGGGGCGCGTGGTGGGGCATAGTGGTATCCATCCTCCTGCAGGTTGTTGCTGTGCGAGAACAGATGCGAAACATCTGCGCTGGCCACGGCCACCAGGGCAAAAGCGATCAGGAATTTCTGCGATCAGGAAGAAAACACAGATCGGTAAGTAAAGCGGCTTTTGGGTAATCACAGATATTCCACGGTCTGCCAGCTCGGTATTCGTATCCACCACCGAGTGCAGCGCTCTAATCCTCAACTCTCCATTTCCGTTTCCCGGCTTGCGGTCTTACCATATTGCTCAGATCCAATTCAACACCTCGAAGGTAGAGTTGTGACTGTGCCTTTTCTGCTCGGCTCTACATTATTTATAGTTCAGCGCGGCTCAGGATGAACAAAAGAGATTTCGTAGCAGAAGCTTCTCGTCGGAGCTCCGAAAACTAAACAGAACCTGCTTGGGATGGTTAACCGGCTGCTGCTGACGTATCTGATTCTTCTGGCTACGCAGCTCCCTCAGAACGACACCCATAAACTTATGGTCTAACTCATTCTCTGTCAAGTCCCAAGCGAAATTTCATAATTCGACGACAAATTTAGATTTTGGCCAGGGCAACAAAATTAAAAAAAAAAAAAGAACCACTAGCACATCCAAATAGAACAACACCTATAATAAAACCACCGCGAATATAATAAAAATCATAACCCAAAGAAAGCCAAAAGCCTGCTTTTTAATATGTGATAGCTTGAAAGCTCAGTCTGCGCCTCGTGAGCTCTTTGAAAAGTTTTAATTTAAATTCAAGAAAAACCGGTGAAATATGGACGATCGCGTGGTAGAACTCAGAATGTGGAGGCGCAGAAGTGCTGGAATTTGGGTGATGGAGGTCCCGCATGGGCTCGCAATTTCATGCTCGGTAATCTGCAGATATTTGGCTAGCTGTGATCGATAACCAGTAGGGGTGCTCTAACAAATGACAAGCAATTCGGAGTTAATTCGCACTTCACGACATAGACAAGGGCACTGATTAAATGATCCCCCACATAAATCTAGTTTAGAACCACGTTCCGCGCTGGTTAGCGCGATGAAAAGCATAAATTAGTTTCGTATTGATTTGGTTTTATAAAAAAACCTATTCGGTATGTTTTATTTATGAGAGCGTTCGTGGATTTGCATAAATTCTCCCAAAAGTATCGCCTGTGCCTTGAGACCCCGAAATATCTCTCCTTCCGACAAAAAAAATGATTGGCACTCCCGAAGGGCAGTGAAGGTTGCCCTTCATCCAAACGTGCATCATCCAGGTGCATGAATCAGTCATCGGGAATGAAACCGGTTCCTCATGCAAGCCCTCCACAAACTGACCTTTGCCATTGCATTTTGCAAGGACAACCACAATCCCTACTTAACCCACTGTTCCAGTTTCCTGTTCTTCTTTAAAGGCAATTGATAAATCGATTTAAGCGAGTCGAAAGCTGCACTCTTAAACTGATTTTTAATGTTGGTCATTTGAATTCCTACCGTCAAACTTGATTGTTATACAATCGATTAGAATTTTAATGAAATCCATTTATTTTTGCCATAATCTCACATGTAGATTATTGCTTGTCAATGCAAATACATTATTATCCTAGTTGGCTATGACGTACAAGGTGGATAGTATTCCAAGTATTCCCACCAAACGTGGCTAGGTCGATCGTTGACCGAAGCCATAATTTGATTCACGCTGTTCTTTTTTTAGAATTTCGGGGATTTTTTCGCTTAATTTCCATATAGAAGTTGTATTGCGTAATCTATAGGGCAGATCTCGGCAGTATCAACGCAATCTGGTTTGGACGTCAGACTTAGTGCGAACTATCTACGTCACCACTTGGACTAAGTAGTCAATCAAGTGATTATTAAACGTGCCATACTCATCGATTAATAGCGATGGCTAATTTTGAATGGCTGTTAGCGCGACTCTGACAATTTGTCGAAATTCGATGTGTGTGTTTTGACCCGAGCGGATCAAAGTTTCCGGCATTTAAATGAGTTCTCATACCATGATCTACCCGCTAATATAAAAAATTAGCTCTGATTACTTCATCCGAAGTGAAAACAGCGCTTCTGCCAGCGGCTTAATTAGATTAATGCTGGGTAAATGCCACACAACGGTAAACGAGTTTGCAATCTGCAGTCCCCAAATATATAGCAAATATATATCGTAGCAAATGTGTATTCTAAACAATGAATTTGCTTAACGTTTTGTTGAAATAGCCAAATATGTGCACCGCTTAGCACGCGTGCGATGTATTGGGATTGGGGATCTGAGTCGTATAACCGATCCTGAAACCGGTTCAGTTAGTTTGGTGAATGCTTTAGAATTTAGTGTTTATAAATTTCACATTAGGTATTGGGCGTAATTAAGAACAAGTTTATTCTGTTCATTCTTATGAGTGAGTTCTCTCAAAACCAAAACCAAAACCAAATCCAAGACCAAATTCCAACCGAATGCAAGCAAATAATTTTGAAAACTTTTTATCAATCCTAGCATAATGTCAGACATTAATCTTCAAGGAGGGTAGATAATGTTCGGAATCAATTAGCGGCCAGGCAACGGAAGCCAAGTTAACACAGCCAACCAGCTACAGGCCAATATATACTGGATGTTTGGTAACTTTTTGCACGAGCAAAACGAAACCGCAAGCCAACACAGCACACAAAAGCTAAAGTTCATTAAGAATACAACAAAATTTCTTTCTGGCTGTATAAATCTGCATTAAGAGCACATAAATTCCAAAAATTATTCAACATCATCTTTGAACCAACCGTTGTGGCTAACATGTGTGGTTCGTATCTCCGCTTACTCTGTTACGGCAGCAGCTTTTGTTAACAGCGGCGATACAGACAACTTAGCAAAACACGAACTAGTAAGCACAAAGACTAAAAACCGTTATTATACCCGTTAGTCGTCGAATAAGAGGGCATACTAGATTCGATGAAAAGTATGTAACAATTAGAGGAATAATCCACCCCAATAAATATATACGTTCTTGACTACGATCACCAGGCCAGTCGACCTGGTCATGTCCGTATGGTATTTCATTAGCTCACTAATCGGATCATTAGGATGATATTAAATAATAAGTTCGTACTCAGTGGACCGTAGCGCTATGGGACACAGGTATTAGTATACCTATACTGAATCAATCTAACCAAGAGAGTACTATGACCAAACTTCGAGACAAAGTGATTCATTACTCCGATACAACCTCTGGGTAAAACTTATATATGGTAACTAGAGAGTTAAAAGTAAAAAAAAAAATATTTCAAACTCAATCTTAATACTAAAGAAAAGTGAAAGTACTTACCGAAACAAATTTATGGACTTGACGAGCTCCTCTTTTTTTATGATTTTAGCACAAATTGATTGAAGTTATTGTTTTATGGCTGACATGGAACCCGCGTCTGGACCTCTGCTTTTTATTTATGGTTCGCAGTCGCAACCGCATTTGGCCAGACGACTGCAATTAGAAAGATAATACCGATACATATGCAAAAGATATACCAGCTGAATTGTATTAGATATACTATATACTTGGGGTTCTACCCAAAATGTCTTATAAATACCAAATGCTGTGTTCGCAAAAAAACAGTTTAATTGTTCGACTTTGTGTGATCAACATGGTAGGTTTCATTCGGATTGGATTTAATGATTGTGGGATTAATGGAAAGTTTTTCTGCGGCCAGCGTGTCCTCTTTTTGCCTTTCGCAGTGGCTCTCTTGGGAGTGGTCGGTGCTACTTCGCTGTCCAGGACCTATTTGCCGCCTCAGGTGCAGCGCCAGGTGGTGAAAACCCAGGTGATCTCTGCTCCGAGGGTTCAAGTTCAGCCCCAGATCATTCAGCGCCAGGTGGTTCAGCCGCAGAACACCTATCTGCCACCTCCGGTGGTGCCACAAGTGCTGCCCGCTTATCGTCCTGCTCCAAAAGTGGTACAGATAGCTCGTCCTGCTCCCCAAGTGATCTCCGTGGCTGCTCCCCGTAACACCTATTTGCCACCTCAAGTGATTAGTCGCCCTGCTCCACAGGTGGTGACCATTGCTCGTCCTGCTCCGCAAGTGATCTCGGTGGCTGCTCCGCGCAACACCTATCTGCCGCCCCAAGTCATCGCTCCCCGTAACACCTACCTGCCGCCCCAGTAAGATGCATCATCATACGAAACGACATTTCTGAGCAACCACCAACTCAACTGGTTTGTGGTTTAACCCACAACACCAACTATATTCTAATGCTAATTTGCCAGCTCGACAAAGAAATGCAAAAATACATTTAATGGGTTTATTTGAGTGTCTGACTTAATACGATTTGCATATTCTCGAATTAGTGCAAAGAAGACAATAAAGAAAGCTCAGAAAGATAAACAAAAACATTGTTTAGTTTTAAGACCAACGGAGGGCGTCAATACAGTTCTGATAACGTAATTATGCAAAAAAAGGGACCCAAATGCCATTAACCCCAAGAGGAAACACCTAATATCTTTGAAGTAGCGATCTTGAGGCTGCCCTGAACAATTAATTAATCAGTCAATCACTCAATAAAGTCAGCGGAACATTAGGTCATTAGTCTGAGCTGTTTATTCGGTTTAAGTGGAAACGTCTACGGCTGACTAGATAGTTTATAACCGGCTAATTGCAATACCTCCTGTTCTGGATCGTTCAAAAATAGCTCTCTGCTACTGTTTTTATTAAGCCAATAGGAGCTTAGTCTAAGCAAAAGCTTGGGTGAATTAAAAAAGCTCTTCTTCAATACGAAACTAAACTATCTGGTTTGCGATCAAATTGTTTTGGCAAACAATTAAGCTGTGATACGTGTATTCTTATGAATATTTATATTTCGCATGACAGTTAAAAATACTACACTTTTTAATCCAAACTCCATGGCGTACCTAACTGATAAAAACAAGCCACATCTGGCGTCGTGCTCGAGGTATCTGTTTGCCCAATTAAACAAATTTTTTGACGCGAAGAAAAACATTTTGCTGATTTATGATACTCAGCACTTCCGTTTGTACCCGCAGATTCGCCGACTTGTATAAAAGTAAAGGAGTCGCTGGTCTATGATATTATTCGATTCGTTGCTCCTAAAGTAAACAGATCATCTAACATGGTAAGGATCTGCCTTCTGCATTGCGGACTATATTTAATGGCATATTATTTCTCCTACGTTTTTTTCCTGCAGAAATTCATCATCTTGACTTTGGCCGTGGTTGCCTGTGTGGCCGCCGAATCGGGCTATAACTACAATGCTCCCCGCCAGGTAGCCGCCTCTGCACCCGCTCCTGTTTTCCAGCAAGCTGCCTCTGCTCCAGCTCCAGTGAGGACCTACGTGCCCCCTGCTCCTGCTGCCTCTGCCCCAGTGCAGGCGTTTGCCCCTGCCCCAGCTCCAGTAGCTGCCCCTGCTCCCGTTTTCCAGCAAGCCGCCTCTGCACCAGCTCCAGTCCGCACCTACGTGCCCCCAGCTCCCCAGGTCCACCACCATGCCGCCGCCTCAGCTCCAGCTCCCGTTCAGTCCTTTGCTCCTGCTCCAACTTTCGCCGCTCCCGCTCCGGCTCCGGCTCCAGCTCCAGTTTTCCAGTCTGCTCCCGCTCCAGTGAGGACCTATGTGCCACCCGCGCCACAGGTTTCCCGCGCTCCTGCTCCGCAAGTGCAACGTGCCCCTGCTCCGGCTCCCCAAGTTCATTACCACGCTGCCGCATCCGCCCCCGTGCAGAGCTTCTCGGCCCCAGCACCCGCCCCCGCCCCCGCTCCAGCTTTCGAGTCCACCGCACCGGTGTTCGAGGCCGCCGCTTCCGCCCCCTCTGCCGCCCGCTCCGGATACGATTATAGCCAGCCCGCCGTCAGCCAGCAGGGATACAGATACAAGACCGTCCGTCGCCGTGTGTTTAGGCACCGCGCTTAAGCGATGATGTCGTTACGAATACAAATTGCGACAATAAAAAGCGAAAATTAAATTTATAAAAACATAGTTTTATTTAAGCATTAAAACTCTAACAAATATAATAAGATAATTGGATAATTATACAATGACATACTATACGTATACGGAAAAGAAGCACCGACAAAAATAAAATCAACATTTTATAAAGTACAACTAATATAACTCCTAGCAAAAGTAAACATAAAGTGGACGATCAGTGTGGCACAACCTTAAACCTTTATTAATTAGTGTTAATTAGCATTGGAATGCAGTTTTTCTGTGAATGACCAAAGATAAAATGTTCCCCACTTCATGAAATACATCCACATGGTTAACCGTAAGTAAAAACAAGATAGAACTCTAAGTTCCTCGACTTTTAGATACCCGTTACTCAGCTAGTGGGAGTAAGTGGCCGTTTAAGTGGATATGTACACCTCTTACCAAGGCCTTTTTTTATTATCTATCGCTAATATTCAGTTAGCTGTTAATAAAAAATTAGTTTGTAGCTTAACTTTCATTACTAGGCCAAATTTACCCTGGGGATGGAGTTCAAAGAACCCATGTGTCATCGTATAAGTGTGCAGCGCACTTGGGCTAATAAATTTAAACGCTCTGATCTAAGAAATTTACGGGACACTTTCATTGTGCTTCAGAATATTCATTTGAATTTAAATTGGGGCTATTCAATAAGAACAAATGGGTCACATAAAGCGCGGAATCGATTTCTCACGCTAGGCAACAGGTTTCGCTTTCAACTTCGCACAAATTTTGGGAGCTCGCGATGCAACGCCAAAGATCCCAAAGAGAGTATATAAGTTGCATCCACAGCTGCCCAGAGTCACTGGCACTTGAACAATGGTAACAGAACAACGATAAGTCTGAGTTCCCAATTTCACTAAAACATTTTTATTGTAGAACATCCTTGTGATCCTGGTTTTATGCCTTATGGCAACCGCATGTCTGGCGGAAGTTTCCCATGTGAAACACCACAAGCACCAGAGGCATCATCAGCCCAGGGAACACGAATACGACGATGAGGAATCCCACTATCCGCATTCCCACGAGGAAAAGGAGGTGGAGCAACCTTTCTACAAGAAGGAGAAGCATACAAGTGAAAAGGTGGTTTACCACAAGGAGGAGGAACACGAGGAGCCCAAGGAGCACAAGGAACGTCACCATGAGGAGCCCAAGAAGCAGAGAGTGGATCACTACCATCACTATGACAAGAAGCCCGAAGTGAAGACCCAGCACATCCACTACAAGCAAAGTAAGCCCCATATCCGTACGGATTACAATCAGGACTTGTTCACTCCAGCTGCCACCCAAGTGGTTCATCGACGCCGTCGTCCTAGTCGGATTCTATACGCCAGTGCCCCCAACTCGGTGTTCCACACCCACACACAGATCAACGTGCAGTCTCAGGACTCGGAATTGAATTCCCTCACGCGCCCAGATCTCGCACCTGGAGCACAGGATCCTGCTGGGGCTCAAGCACCGACTGGAGCTCAGGCACCGGGCTTGCGACCCAATTGCCAGTTCATTGGACCTGGAAACATACCACCTGGCTGTGGACCCTCTGATCCCATAGGTGCTCAGCTACCAGCAAGTGCTCTGGCACCCACTGGCGCTAATCTGCCGGCCAATCAACCCGTACCCGGCGGCCAATTGGCTGTTCTGGGTAATGGCCAGCGACCTCCACGTCCAGGTGGCTATGTAAGTGGATATGGCAACCGACTGAACTTTTTCGTTGATCCCTCGCTGGGTCAGCTAGGGGCCATAGGTAATGCTGCAGCTGGAAATCAACAAGCTGCCGGAGGAGCTCAGCTCGCAGGAGGAGCTCAACTCGGAGCGAGCCAAGGATTCGACCCCTCTTTCGGCGCCCAAGCAGCTAACGGAGCTCCATTTAACCCAGGATTTGGAGCTGGTCAAGCTCAAAGACCTGCGCAGAACCAATATGATCCCAACCTACAGTTAGGTGGTCCTTTTGATCCCTCCTTGGGTGCTCAATTGGGAGCAGCTCAGGGTGTTCCTAACCAAAGACCAAGTGGACAGGGAGCATTTGATCCTTCTACAGGTGCTCAACTTGGCGCTGGGCAGAGTGTTCCTAACCGGAGACCCAATACACAAGCCGCCTTTGATCCCGCTTTGGGCGCTCAACTTGCAGCTGGCCAGGGCGCGCCTAATCAGCGACCCAATCCAGCTGGACAGGGAGCATTCGATCCCAATCAGGGGCAGTTCGACCCCTCCATTGGAGCCCAATTGGGGGCGGGTCAAGTGCCACGCCTCAACAACCGACGTCAGCGCAATCGATCCAACTACCAGGGCCTCAATGTGCTGAATGGCAACGTTTTTGGACAACCCCATCTCCAGGGACCCACAAATGCGCTGGGAAATCAACAGGACACCAACATTATAGATGGCAATTTCTACAGCGATCCCCATTATGGACACCAGCGGGCCTTGGTATCGGTTAATCCCAATCAGCGCTCAGTCCTTATACCCGACGACGATGATGCGGATGATGATGGAATGGATGAATTCCTGGCCTTCGCGGCCAGTAGGAGGAGGCCCGTCCATACCGCTCCCAAAGAACTGCGACCTCATAGTATCATTTCAAAGCGAAACAATGTGGATCTAAAAACATCTGCTTCGGAGTACGACACTGATTATCGTGAGGATGGCTATCACTACCAGAAGCCCAAACATGCTTTCGAGTTCTAAGTGTTTTAAAGCTGAACATAATATACCATACATTAAATCATACTTATCAGCATTTGCTACAAGAGCATTCAAAACAAAAGTTGTTTACATAATTTTAATAATGTTAAGCATACTTTCAGGCGAAAAATATGGTGGTTATTTCCGTTTCCGTTTCTTAAGTTGAGCTTTACATATTGAGCTTTAGCTTAAGCTTTACACCAGACTACCGTTTTCAATATATAAAGATCCAGATATTTATAAACTGGATATGATGCTGATATGTTTACCTCAAATTATGTTCTTTAAATTACTTATATTAGCATAAATATACACATGTGCAAATAAATTAGGGCATTTATGTTCTGGCCATATCGACGATTGCCTTTGATGGAAAAGTTTTTAATATTGGCCTTTAGGGTACGCGGAAAGAAAACTAGTTCAGAGCTATATATAAATAGGGGCACAAAGTGATTTTTATAGTGAGAGAGGCAAAATGAATTGTCGGCATAAATTTATGCAATCATTTAGATTCGATTCTCATGCAAATCCAATCAACTAAAATCAAAATAGAAATAAAACAAAATCCATTGTTTCAAAAGGCAGCAGATCTTGGCCAGTCGACTGCATAAAGGTGAGCTGGCCAAAACACATTCATTGGGTCCATTTTTGGCCCGTCGCATTTGTGACCTATGGATAAAGGCTGCGTGTATGTTCGGTTTTTGTTATGATTATTTTTTGCGCAGAATGAGACGGGCCTTAGTAATGCTTAAATTCGGCAATCAATGTCAATATTAGCGAGTGGGCTCCTAAATCAAATGTGGGCAGTCCACTGCCGGCTTGAGCGTCTTTTTTTGGCCAACTGTAGGTCAGAGAGGATTAGCCCATCTCGTCGGCTCTTGACCCAATACACTGGCACATAGAAAGCTATTAGCTGCTCACCATAAATCAGCGTACTTCTCCTGGTGAAATTAGCCCACTTAAGTGAGCCAAATGCCCGCAACAGAACCATCAAAAATGGCTACAAGTAGCATTAAATTAAAATAATTTATGGCAAACTTTCGGATCAAACTCTACGGAGGAGCCCAGATCGGCATAAAATTAACGGAGACCGCTAGGGCATTCAAAGCCCCCTGATTACAGAAATAAATTTCAGATGATGTCTGTGCGAATTTCGCCGGCTTGTGGCTATGCAAAGCGAGTGAGTGGGTTCATAGTGGGGCTGGTGGAGTTCAATGATCCCCAGCCACCCGCTTCTTTGGCAATTAATGCTACAAACATTTTGGGTTTTGGGTCATTTTGAGGTTTTCCCTAGGAACTGAGCAAAATCCTAACTAGAAGTAACATTGATATTGTTTGTTACACATACATATGTTATACATACGAGTATATTGTTTTCTACTACATAAGAATCTGAACTTTATGAACTGAAACCGAACAATTTATCGATTTAACATTTTCATTTAAAATGAATATTCAATATCCGGTCAGTAAACTTGTTTTAATTATTATCAGAAGCCATTAAGTTCATATAAATCGAATATAAATTGATTTCTTCATGTGTATATATAATTAAATGGCTTTCCAGATGGCAACATAGAGCTAGAACTCTGTACTCAAAGGGCTCTGAGTTTTTGAATCAGAACTAATCTGATGTAATCTCATGTAACTCCGCCTTGCATCATCCGTTAAATATAGCCTAAGAAATCGACAAGCTTGCGATGCTCGGATGATTAATTTTCATCACTTTGTAGCCACATAATTAATTTTAGACAGCCATAACCAAGAATAGATTTTCAAGACCGATCGTACTCGAAGCCCTATGTTTCCATGGCATCAACAGAAAGCCATCAAACAGAAAGCCACTCGATGAGCCGCGGGCAGCCCCAAAATAAGAATCGACTTAAAATCAGATTTACATGAAAGGAACTTGCCAAATTTCGGCTGCCACGCGTTTCCATTATTTATTGGCCCCGAGCCGAGTGTTAAAAGTGTGCGGAGTTTTTTCTTCATCTTTTTGCTGCCCTGTTGCTTGGCGTTGATTTTTGTATATTTATATTTTAGCTTTTTCGGCTTTAATATGTTTTTTTAGAGCTCTGGAGATGCGCTCCATGGCGGTAGTGGCACTTTCTATTCGCCGGCTCAGACGAGTGTGGCGATTTTGGAACGGGTTTCCAGAATGATTTATCATTTATTTTAGTTAAACAAAAAAAGAGCATCACAGGCTAAAAGAACGTTAAGTTTATCATAAAAGACTAAAACGTGTACTTGGCTAGTGGGTATAAGGTCTTTTTAAGCCGACAGTCTTTTACTCTGTCAGCCAAAAATGTTTGATTTAGAAAATGTGGCTGGATAGCAACAACAAGTCTTATTGAATATTAAAAGAATTGTACAAGAACTTTATTAGGATTATTCACCGTTGATAAATACAATTAAAAATAATATAATATAAATAATATATTATATAAACAAAATATAAGCAGCTTACTTTATTTGGCAGTTCAACTAGTGTTTATACACCGATGTCCTTACCATAATATTGAATATAAATATACAAGAAGAATAAGAAAATATAAAGTTAAGAATATATGTACAATATGCGTAAGGGAATCCTCCCCAGTTAGGGTATCTTGAAAACTAAACGAACTAGCGCGTGTGACTATGCCGGGCAAAAGTCAAAGGCTAAGACTAAGACAAAGGAAAGGCTGCAGCCACGAGAAAGAAGTTGCCGCCTGATAATCTCGCAGATATGGCCGAAATCGAATGGCCATAATATTAATTAGAATAGAATTTGCATTAATTAAGCCAACGCGAAATGGTCTTTGGTTATTGTTAGACAGAGCGACGCGACCTGTGGGATTATGCAAAGGCAGTCTGAATCTGGTATACACAGCGTTTTGGAAACTCCATTTGGGGAGACCGATCGAGCGTGCCCATCCATTAACCATTAGACATTATACAGATAACACAATCAGTGGGACGGAGATCTCCTTTCGCTGATCCGCTCTCCTGCCCATTTTCTTTTTGTGGGTTACGCTAATTCGATGCCCACGCTTACTTATTAAGCCGGGCTGGCAAATGCTGGCAAATTTAAGTGTTGTCTGTGGCCATTGTGTTGGGGTTTTGTTCCCTTCTGCGGGACGTCTGTATGGGACCACAACTGCCATTCACTAATTTGCATATTTCTCTATTTTTCGGCATAAGCAGCGATTCCGAAATGGAACTATTAAGTGTTCGGACCGGCTCACCGGACTACTGATGGATAACAATAATAAGCAGATGGGGCAATGGTTATCTATTGACTGGCAGCTTTCGTGTAGAACATCTATGGACAACTGGACCAAAGTCAGCATAGAAATACAAACATGTGGAGAATATGCTAGAACTCGCTATGTTGCCAGCGAATAAAATGTAAATTGGCAAAGCCATAAATTCAGCTCGTTAATACGCGCAGCTCTTGACTATTTTTAAGTGCTGCACACACACAGGAAATGAAATGATTTATCTCTGGCGTACAATGGCAAGCCAAACAAGAATTGTAAGGCTCTAAACCTTTATGCATTTGGAAATAGGAAAACTGATATAGTTGCTATTTGATACCGACCAACCTCTTTATGGTCGCCGCGTTAATTAGCCAAACTGGTGCTATTAAGGCCCGTCTTCTGAGATTGGTGGTGATTGGCGGCGCGTGACAACCATCCATCACCGGCGCAATCCCCACAAGCACCATCCATCCCGTCTTAAACTTCAGGCAACCCCATAGATCATGACCTTGACTTTCGCAGCTGTACTTTGACCCGAGTTGTATAGCGATTTTTCGATGAATCGATTGGCGGCGTGTTAGTCATCGTTTATCCTCGACTTTACGGAACCGATTAGTTCCTAGCACTAACAAGCCTTGCTTCATTCATGGCTAATTTTTTTTAGCTTCGATGTTGCAAATACACCGAATTGTGGCCAAATAAAACATGTACTCCCCCTCTCCAAATTTAACCATTAATCATTTGCTGAAGAGTAGCTGCAGTCTATAGTTCACGTTTGCTCTTAACAAATTGATTAGCCTTCCTTTTTTAAACGCATTAATATCTATGATTTAATCATTTAATCCCATTTTATGAACTGTAGCGCGCGTTTAAATTTAAGCTAACTCATAAATAAGCCAAAATAAATAATCCTTTTCTACCGGTGCAAACCACTTTACTTGATTTATTCAAACATCCCATGCATGTCCATGTTTAATTTTCGAAGCAATTGATGAGAGCTTTTTAACAGAAGTGACACAAAAATCAGTTGCAGATCAAATATCACATCTGAATGATATAGAAAAATGCTTAAGTTGGGATTAAGTCTGCTGTGGGCTGTCAACCAAATTGTTCCATATATATAATAAGAAACATGTTTTTAAATGTAAGCTGTAGCTATTTCAAATCTTATCGATCCAATATAAAAATTAGCCATTAAGAAATTGTTTTAATAAACATTAAGATATTGTAGAAATTACGTTGCTATGCCATATTGTTCCATATGTTGATATCATATAAGATAAACCAATATTATAAGCCCTTTCAAACTTAGTAATTGATTAGCGCGCATCCGCATAAAGCAGACTATTCTAAGAATTCACAATAGGATATTCTGAAGATCTCTTCATCCAACATCCGGCATTCTGTTTACAAACCTAACAATTCGTACGCATCAGGCATAATTATATCATATTTCCAAAATTTGAATGGCTCGCTTGGTCAGTTCCTATTTGTTGATTAATGAACGGCGAACGACATCGCCACAAAGAGAAGCGGCTGCGATCGAAATAATCGACTTTTTGAGTGGCGATTCGGATATCTATTGAAGTGAGCGATTTGGATTGAAACATATAACTCATCATTTGAATTTAAATCGAGCGCAATTCCATCGGCGGCTTGAATGAAACAAGGCTGGCGGACGAACACAAAGAGGTGTAAACAAGATGAGAGAGCCAAGTTAATTCATATAATTCATATACATATATAAACTCATATATGTATGTATTAAAAGTATGTTTGCGCGCTCGACTTGTCCAAAACTTTGATGTCCATCAAATCTTTTGCATATGATTAAATAAAACAATTAAGAGAATCCGTGCGAACGATTTTGGCCATTAAACGTTTTTTTAGCCATCAACTGCTCTCGAGCTTCAGCTTGTGCGAATGTAAGCGTCGCAGTCGCCGTCAATCGAGTTGGCCAAGCTGCGTTTGAGCCGCAAAGAGCGGCTTAGAACTCGTAGCCCAGCAAAACCAAAGCCGAAGCCGTGCGAATTTACAGACGCGTGCGCCGGCAGCGACGTCTTTTTGGGCAGAGCCGCAAAAAACGCCAGCTCTGTAATAGCCAGCGAAGAGCGGAGAATCTGTATAAATACCAAAAGGTTCTGCGTATTCCTCATTAGAGTTTCGGTTTTACTGCTGTGAACAAGCCATTCATCGGACAATATGGTACGATTCGACATCTTAGGCATCGCAGCCATCGGAACACCACTAAAGGACTAAACTAAACAAACTTTCCAACTGTTTCTTGCAGAAACTCTTCCTGGTCGCTTTCGCCGTGATCGCAGCAGTGGCTGCCGATGTCAGCCACCTGCCCACCAACGAGTACCTGCCTCCCGTCCAGGAGCAGCAGATCATCGCCGCTCCACAAAACGAGTACCTGGCTCCCGTTGACGCTGCTCCTGAGACCACCTTTGGCGATGATGGCTACCGTTACAAGACCCAAAGGCGCGTGGTGCTCCGTCGTCACCGTCGTGATGTGAACGAGCTGCCCTCCAACGAGTACCTGCCCCCCGTCGCTGCTCCACAAAACGAGTACCTGGCTCCCGCTGACGCTGCTCCTGAGACCATCTTTGGCGATGATGGCTACCGTTACAAGACCCAGCGTCGCCGAGTCCTCCGTCGTCACCGTCGTGATGTCAACGAGCTGCCCTCCAACGAGTACCTGCCCCCTGTCTCGGCTGCCGCTCCTTCCAACGAGTATCTGCCGCCAGTCCAGATTGCTGCCCCAGCTCCCGCTCCAGTTCAGATCTCCGCTCCTGCCCAGCTGAATGCTCCTGAGACCATCTTGGCCGATGATGGCTACCGTTACAAGACCCAAAGGCGTGTGGTGCTCCGTCGTCACCGTCGTGATGTGAGCCACTTGCCTACCAACGAGTACCTGCCGCCTGTCCAGGCTGCCGCTCCTTCCAACGAGTATCTGCCACCAGTCCAGGTTGCTGCCCCAGCTCCCGCTCCAGTTCAGATCGCCGCCCCTATCCAGCTGGCCGCCCCCGCTCCCGTCGTGGTTGAGGCTGAGCCCGCCCATGAGTTGGCCGATGACGGTTACCGTTACAAGACTCATCGTCGCGTTGTCTACCGCCGCCACCGCCGTGACGTCAACGAGCTGTCCAACGAGTACCTGCCCCCCGTCGCTGCTCCACAAAACGAGTACCTGGCTCCCGCTGATGCTGCTCCTGAGACCATCTTTGGCGATGATGGCTACCGTTACAAGACCCAAAGGCGCGTGGTGCTCCGTCGTCACCGTCGTGATGTCAACGAGCTGCCCTCCAACGAGTACCTGCCCCCTGTCTCGGCTGCCGCTCCTTCCAACGAGTATCTGCCGCCAGTCCAGATTGCTGCCCCAGCTCCCGCTCCAGTTCAGATCTCCGCTCCTGCCCAGCTGAATGCTCCTGAGACCATCTTGGCCGATGATGGCTACCGTTACAAGACCCAAAGGCGTGTGGTGCTCCGTCGTCACCGTCGTGATGTGAGCCACTTGCCTACCAACGAGTACCTGCCACCTGTCCAGGCTGCCGCTCCTTCCAACGAGTATCTGCCACCAGTCCAGGTTGCTGCCCCAGCTCCCGCTCCAGTTCAGATCGCCGCTCCAGTGCAGATCGCCGCCCCTGTCCAGCTGGCCGCCCCCGCTCCCGTCGTGGTTGAGGCTGAGCCCGCCCATGAGTTGGCCGATGACGGTTACCGTTACAAGACTCATCGTCGCGTTGTCTACCGCCGCCACCGCCGTGACGTCAACGAGCTGTCCAACGAGTACCTGCCCCCAGTCGTTGCTTCTCAAAACGAGTACTCGGCTCCCATTCAGGCTGGTCCCACCACCGATTTCCTTGCCCCCGTTGGTAACACCGTCGATGTGGCTCCCGCCCATGTCCTGGGTAATGATGGATACCGCTACAAGACCCACAAGCGCGTTGTGTTCCGCCGTCACTAAATCATCCGATAAAGGCTTCACTAGGTGATCGATTTGTGCTTATTTTGGAGTGCAGACCCTACTATTAGAATACCTCCTTTTCATTCAAATACAATAATACGATAACGAATCCATATATTCGAGCGCTTTTTTAATTTTATGATATTGGGTATAACAAAAGGGTAACGAAAAGTAATATTTTTCTATCTAATTATATATAAAAAAAAGAAGGAATATATTCCAATGAATAACAAAAACTTGCGAAGATTTTAAATTTTTGCCTTTCTACTTATGAATAACCTGAATAATGATTCACCAATGTAAAAAAAAATAGGGTAAGTGCTAGAAGATATTCAAAATTTCACTATCTTATTATAGAAATTAGAGCCTAAGGCCTGTTTGCCTTAGAGCAAACTATGTTACATCTGACATATAATCGAAATTTAGATCTAAATATTTCTGCAAAAATGAGAATCTTTTTTTTAAATTTTTTTGCCATTTTTCTGATGTTATGGTGTTGTAGAAATTCAAAAATGTCCCAAGACCGAAGTTCTAAGGTTCATAACTCAACCTATCGTAATCGGATTTTGAAGTGGCATACCTCTAAATACTCCTGGAGCTATTCTCTAAAAATTTGCATTCAAATTTGAAAATTTATTTTTTCTAATTTTTTTTGTCATTTTTAAATTTTCTGGTGTTGTAGAAATTAAAAATTGTCCCAAGGCTGAAGTTCCAAAGTCCATAACTCTACCAATCTTAATCGGATTTTGAAGTGGCATTTTAAAAAAATGTGATATTCTTAAATTTTTTTATTAGTCTTGTAAATTTCTATCGATTTGCCTAAAATCGTTTTACTACGCCTACTCTTCCACCAACAATTTGCCCAAAACTGTCACTATCACGCGTTTGAAAATTTGTTTGAATTCTTTTACACAATGTCTACCGATATTCCAGAACGGGTTGCATTCTATCTTGTTTAAATGTTATTTCCAAATGTATAGTTTTTCATTGATTTTCCAACGATTTGCATATTTATATTGGAAAAGGGCAACACGTTTTTAGCAGAATCTAGTTCGAGGAAGAGAATTAATTACCTCGTTTTATTAATGCTTTTCTTCGACTTTATCTTTATAGAAGGTAATTTTTCCAAAAGTGTATTCAGGTTATTTTGTTCAGGTTTTCTTTCAGGCGGTGACATACAATCATTGTTTCGACATTGAGATCGTGATTTATTTCCGCAACTTTATTGCTTTTTCGGCAGCCATTTCGCATTTTTAACAATTGTTTTTGTCTTTTCTCTGCTCCGCTATCGAACATCTGCTTTTATTACGCGGAGTCATAGAACTCGATTAGTACCAGTTAATTAAGCCACAATATAATTATCGACAATTAAGCAAATTGAGCTGGGGTGGATCGGAATTAGAATCGGAATCGGCACGCGTTTGGCCTGGGAAAAGTTGGCGAGCGCGGATGGGGGAACAATGGAACCTGATCTTGGCCACTAAGAATTAATGAAATATACTAAAAATATTAAGTGGCCGTTTGGCTGCTTTGGAGGTTAGGACGGGGGAGAAAGGGGGACTCCCAAATCGTGGCTCATGATCTCGCTGGAGTTGAGCAGACTGCAAAACCCGTTACAAACCTGCTTGCAAAACTATAATGGATATGTTTTGGCGGTGCCACTAAATACAAATTCATAAATTAAATAATCAAATGCAAATTTACCGTCGCAGGCCGGTGATTAGAATTATATAAATAAGCCACAGAACATGGTCAAAGGCATCACTTCCACTTGTACTCTCCGTTCAACTGGACAGCCGAGCACCCAGCAAAATGGTACTAACCAGGTCCGGTGCTGCTTAAGGATAATCAACTTATATGTCCATTTTGATCCATTTCAGAAATTCTTCTTGTTCTGCGCCTTCATCGCCGCCGTGGCCGCCGATGTCAGCCACCTGCCATCCAGCCAGTACCTGCCACCCAGCAGTGGAGTCGCCTCGGCTCCCGTGGCTTCCTACTCCGCTCCTGCCCAGAGCTACAGCGTAGAGGCCTCGGCTCCAGTTGCCTCCTACTCCGCTCCCGTTGAGTCCAGCTATTCCGTTGCTGCTTCTGCTCCAGCAGTGTCTTATGCTGCTCCAGCTGTGTCCTACGCCGCTCCTGCTGCCACCTACACCGCTGCTGCCTCTGCCCCAGCTGTGTCCTACGCCGCTCCTGCTGCCACCTACACCGCTGCTGCTTCTGCCCCAGCTGTGTCCTACGCCGCTCCAGCTGTGTCCTACGCCGCCCCTGCTGCCACCTACACCGCTGCTGCATCAGCTCCTGCTGTGTCTTATGCTGCTCCAGCTCAGACCTACACCGCTGCCGCTGCCGCCCCAGCTGTGTCCTACTCCGCTCCCGCTGAGTCATACGAGACCGCTGCCTCTGAGCCCGCCCACACCTTCTCGGCCAACGATGGATACCGCTACAAGACCCACAAGCGCGTCGTCCTCCGCCGTCATCGTCGTGGTGAGCCCGCCAACGACTACCTGCCCCCCATCCAGGAAGCCGCTTCTGCCCCAACCAGTGAGTACCTGCCCCCAGCAGCTTCCGCTCCCGCTCCAGTCTTCCAGGCCGCACCTGCTGTCTCCGCTGAGAGCTACGAAACCGCTGCTTCTGCTCCTGCCCACTCCTTCTCCGCCAACGATGGATACCGCTACAAGACCCAGCGTCGCCGAGTCCTCCGCCGTCATCGTCGTGATGTGAGCCACCTGCCCTCCAACGATTACCTGCCCCCAGTAGCCTCTGCCCCAGCTCCAGTGTACTCCGCCCCCGCTCAGAGCTACTCTGCTCCAGCTGCCACCTATTCCGCTGCTGCTTCCGCTCCAGCTGTCTCCTACGCTGCTCCTGCTCAGAGCTACTCTGCTCCCGCTGCCACCTACACCGCTGCTGCTTCCGCTCCAGCTGTCTCCTACGCTGCTCCTGCTCAGAGCTACTCTGCTCCCGCTGCCACCTACACCGCTGCTGCTTCCGCTCCAGCTGTCTCCTACGCTGCTCCTGCTCAGAGCTACTCTGCTCCCGCTGCCACCTACACCGCTGCTGCTTCCGCTCCAGCTGCCTCCTACGCTGCTCCCGCTCAGAGCTACTCTGCTCCCGAGTTCTACACCGGCGCCGCAAGCGCCCCAGCTGAGAGCTACGAGACCGCCGCCTCTGCGCCCGCCCACTCCTTCTCCGCCAGCGATGGATACCGCTACAAGACCCAGCGTCGCCGGGTCCTCCGCCGTCACCGTTACTAGAGGCTCCAGCGAACCGAGAAAACTCCTGAAACTGAGAAAGTCATAAATAATAAAAATATTGAAAAATACTTGAACTGCTTTATTACTTAAACGACTAACAGGAAATCCTATTGACGGGAGCCCCCTTATTTGCCTAACAATAACATTGCGTAATAGAGTAAGAATCTTGGGTCATTAAAGCCAATGAGTCTTAGGCATTAATACCGAGGTGTCGTCAAGCGGAGACTATCCACCTGCTGAAAAAACTAGTTTAGTTCGAGATGCGGAAACTCGATTAATGATCCGAAATGAATTTTTTGTTCAGCAAGTGCATTGTCGTCTGAAGATTCAAGTTGAAAGTCAACGATATGATCATTCGGGGCATACTTGTTATAAATTGTTTATAAATTATATACTTACGGGCTGAAGTTATGGAGCTAGGTCTCTAGCGGCAGTTTTTAGGGTTAAGAAAGCCCTTTAATTATGGTTCCAATTTGTAACACAGTGTTATTCTAAATGCATCAGACTATTACCAAAATCCTCAATGTAAAGCAATAAATCAAAAGTAAGACTACTTATATTTCTTGTAGCAGCTTTGCCGCTTAAATTATTTCAATGTTATCGTCTAACCACGTTTCAAATCTAAGGTCTATGAGTATAATTATTTTTTCGTTGCCCATTTGTATTATACTTTCCGGCTGGCGAGCACAATGATCTGCGATGTCTAAAAGTATGTGAGTAGATCTGATTCAAAGCAATTATCATTGTGGATCAGATGTGCTGTTGCTCTGATATTTGGTACCCTTTGAGCCATTGAAAGAAAACAGCAATAGCCTAACATTCACATTGTCGTTTTTAATTCGGCAGTTTTTCGTAATCTTTAAAACATAAGTTTAAAAAACATATTTTAATGACTAAGTTCGATTGGAGATTCCGCAGGCAAGATCCCCGGTACATCATTAATGATAGGTATTAAATAAAACATTACAGTAGACTACAATTATTCAATTTCGTACGTTCCTAAGAATCACTATGCGCACACAGAGGCAATTGTGTCAATTAATCAGTGATGGGTGGCCGATCGACGGATGAGTTGTTCAAAAGTCGAATGCGATCGCCGGCTTCGGGTAGGAATAGCCCACGGACTTGGGGGCGGGTGGGGGAAATGGAATTACTGGCTTGGGGTAGTCGTAACCCTGCTTCACCTGAGGGGGTGGAAGGTACTTGGGGGTGGGCGGGCTGGTTGGCACAACGGGGGGAATGTACTTTTGCGGGGGATTCGTGGGTGGTGGGAAGGGAATGGCGGGCTTGGGATAGTCGTACCCTTGCTTCACTTGAGGTGGAGGCAGGTACTTGGATGTGGGAGGTGGTGGAGCTGGAGTTGTGGTCACTGGTGGCAAGTACTTCTGTGGTGGGGCAGTGGGTGGTGGGAATGGAATGGCGGGCTTGGGATAGTCGTAACCCTGCTTCACCTGCACCGGGGGCAAGTACTTGACCGTAGGTGGGTTTGTAGGTGGCAGATATTTTGGGACTGGTGGTGAAGTTGGAATCACTGGTGGTGGTAGGTACTTTTGCGGCGGATTAGTGGGTGGTGGGAATGGAACGGCGGGTCTTGGGTAATCGTAGCCCGACTTAGGCTGTGCGGGTGGCAGATACTTGGGCTGCGGTGGGTTTGTTGGCTTCGGAGGTGGCAAGTACTTGGGCTGGGGTGGAGTCGTGCGCACAACAGGTGGCAAGTATTTCTGTGGTGGGTTTGTTGGTGGTGGGAATGGAATGACTGGTTTTGGGTAATCATAGCCCGACTTGGGCTGAGGGGGAGGCAGATACTTGGGCTGCGGTGGGTTTGTTGGCTTCGGAGGTGGCAAGTACTTGGGCTGTGGTGGAGTCGTGGGCACAACAGGTGGCAGGTATTTCTGTGGTGGGTTTGTGGGAGCTGGGAAAGGAACGACGGGTTTGGGGTAATCGTAACCTTGCTTCACTTGTGGTGGAGGAAGGTATTTAGCAGTAGGTGGTGGAGGAGGTGCCTTCGTGGTGGTTACAGGTGGCAAATATTTCTGTGGTGGAGCAGTTGGTGGTGGGAATGGAATAGCTGGCTTGGGATAGTCGTAGCCCTGTTTCACCTGAGGGGGTGGCAGGTATTTGGGTGGTGGAGGTGGTGGTGCTTGCGTTGTGGTCACAGGAGGCAGGTACTTCTGTGGAGGAGCAGTGGGTGGTGGGAATGGAATGACGGGCTTTGGATAGTCATATCCTTGCTTCTTTGGTGGTGGTGGAATGTAGGTAGGTGTAGGTGGTGGAATGTATTTTGGCACAGGAGGACTGGTGGGCACAACGGGAGGCAGGTATTTCTGTGGTGGGTTCGTGGGTGGTGGGAATGGAATTGCTGGCTTAGGATAATCGTATCCCTGCTTGACTTGAGGGGGTGGCAGGTACTTCTTAGTCGGCGGTGGTGGTGGTGGTGGAGCAGGTGTAGTGGTCACCGGAGGAAGATACTTCTGTGGCGGGGCAGTAGGTGGTGGAAATGGAATGGCGGGCTTGGGATAGTCGTATCCCAGTTTCACTTGAGGAGGTGGCGCTTGAGTTGTGGTTACAGGTGGCAAGTACTTTTGTGGTGGAGCAGTTGGCGGCGGGAATGGAACAGCTGGCTTGGGGTAATCGTATCCTTGCTTTGGCTGGGGGAAGGGAACCGATGGTGTAGGATAAGCGTATCCCACGACCGGCGGTGATGTCACCCTTATCTGTGGGGGCTGCGTTGGTGGCGGGAAGGGGACCACTGGCTTGGGATAGGAGTACCCACTGACCAGTTTGGGTTCCTGCGGAATGATCTGCTGTACTGGCGGCGTGTACTTGGGCTGTGCTGGCGGGAAGGAAACGGCTGGCTTTGGGTAGGAGTAGCCACTGGACTCCACAACTTTAGGGAGTGGTGGCGGGAATGGAATGGCCGGCTGCGGATACGAATACCCATCGGTGAAGGCCACCTTCGGTTTTGGATAGTCATAGCCCTGCAAAGGATTCAATTAGTTAGTATGCTTACATTAATGAGATATCATCGGCATACCTGGGCCGCAGTAAAGTAGCTCTGGCTTAGAGCGATCAAAGCCAGGCTAAGCACACGAATCTGCTGCAAAAAAAAAAAGAAAAATGTAAATATAATTTAGTGCCAAAAACAGTAATGATCCTTATATTTATCTTTGACATTTATGTATATTTATATTTAGCCAGAGTGACTGACAATATCTACGTGGGCCTCGACCGTTTATGGTTATTTTCAGTGGCGTCAGAGCATCGAAAATTTCCGCATATAATTAAGGCTCGACAATTTTGCAAACGGCCATTGTCAGCTTTTGACACTATCAATTTTTGGCTAAGAATTCGGCACTACGCTCACAATCCAATTAAGTCACGTTCAACGAAGGCTTTCTAAGCACATTATTAATTAACAAGTCGAAAGCCAAATTAAACGCATTTTCGTGCGCTAATTGCCCATGCGTTGATTGATTATTGGCAAAGGCGGTATAAACCGGGCCTACAGCAAGCCCGCATGTGGTTGCACTTAACAAATAAAAAAAATAGATAAATAAAAACTGGTAGCTGCCGCGGGCAACAGTCAGAGTCAAGGTCGTAGCATCTGCCACATTGCCCATTAGTTTATCGAACCGATCTGGACCGCCTAGAAATGTTCTAAATACCAGGCTTGTGTGAATAACCTCGTGGATAGTCAGACAAAACACTGTCACTTGATGGCAAAGTCACGCCGACCGGTTCGATAAACCCGAGAAGATGCTAAAATTAAATTAGATTTAAGTGCCTCCAATCGCTTGGATTTATGTTAATTCAAAACTAGCAATTCGGCAAGCACTAATTAAGCCGTAGATAACACACTTTGAGAGAGGCAGTGAAAACCTTTATCTGCTTAGCCAAACCATCTTTGGAACCCGGAATTCCATTTCTCAAATTAAAGCACATAAATTTGCCGAAAATAAAACTAAAAATAAACTTAAACGGCTTCTACGAGTGCGCTCAAGCCAGAGTCGTTAAACACGGGCCATTAAAACAAAAACCTTAATTGAATCAAGACAATAGCAGCAAAAAACTCAACAAAAAATCATGTTATATAAAAATGGAACAAAAGTCGCGTCAAACGGAGAGATCATCTCAATCAAATGGAAATAGTTTAAGCCATCCCACGCAATGTTCTTATGGATTTATGATTATGTTTCTTATTTTTTCTTTACCTCTTTGATAAATTGTTATGGAAAAATGCCACTTGTGCGGTACTCAAGCGGCTTGTCAGCTGTCGGGCCTTAAATTCTAGCGGATTTGCCAATCTTCATTCAACTTGTGGCATGAATCGCAGGCACCTCAAGAAACTAGTTCTAACCCCCGTAAACTTGGCTTTCTGTTGCGTTATTAGTTGACAACTCGCGTTGATATGTGTATATCCATTAAAGTCAGAGCCCAATTAAGTTTTGGGTTGAAAAGTAATTTTTTTTATGGCAGTGACGCACACAGGTGTCGCATAACATGAATACTGCTCTCGATGTTTATCTTTGTTAATATTCACTTTAGAATAATGCCATAGATGGTATCCTACGATTTCTGCTAATCCAAAATGAACATGGGTAAGACAAATTAAGATATACATATCCGTTTTCCTGTTGACCTTAATTGAAAGTTTCACCATACCAATCTACAAGCTCGTAATTAAAGCACCCATTACAAAATACCTGTCCGAATGTGCGGCGTCATCTCGAGTGGCATAATTCTGTGTGGCTTGAATAGATGAAGTTTTGAAGAGTGTGTAAAGTGGGTGAGGTCTACTACTCGAGGTGCGCCCGCCGCTGGAACTTTTTTAACACAGAATCTGAATCTCGATGATGTCGAGTCATTTTCCTAGGCCCTGAATTCAAACAAACAGAGAAAAACACCTAAAACTTTGACAATTCCGGCGACAAATGCCGCGAAACGGGGGGCGTTAATTGTCACAATTGAAGCGTGTGAAATCACATCATAAAACCAAAGCCAGCACATCTATTTATATGTGGTGTGACGACCTTG